CTTTCAGTATATTGAAGTTGGTAAATTCGAGAGTGCCATGAATTAACATACGTCCAAATCTGCTGGCAAATTTAACAGCTAGAAAATTGACCTATTATTTGCCGCATTCGCATTCGCTGAGGGGGATAATGGATTGTTAAATGTAAACCTATAACATATATCAAAATACATGAAAGTTGTCCTACTTTTTCTGTACAAAAGCATCATGTTGGAATCAAAAAGTGGTATTGTTTATAGTACAGTCAAATTTTCACGATTTTATTCAATATTTCAATAGAAATCAGTAATATTCAGAGACCTTTGATAGCTTCCGTCAAATTGCATTTCGATAAGGTATTTTCCCATTGGTTCATAATATTAATGTTGGTGAAATCGGCCCTAAAGCTAGTTTATTTGCCAGTGACACATATTTGTATTTTATTGTATCCTGAAAAATTCAAATTACAGGACTTACGAGTTGTTTGCACTGACTCATCCGATTGGTCTGGCCTGGGTCACACGATGAGCTTTGGCAGATCTTTAACATTGAATTTTGGAAGAGCTAATTGACTTCAATGTATCAGAAGACGTGATAAATACGTAAAAAAGAGAAACTGTGGAGCTTTTCTGTGTTGTCTTCTTTCATTTCGTACAACAACACCTTGGTTAATGAGATACATTGTCGCTGTCACTTTTTTATGTATACTGTGAACGGACTAACAAGAAGCGCCTTAGCGCACATCTAGTTTTGATGAATGGCTGACTTCTATAAAAGGTTGGTTCGTTTTAGCTGGATCACTGAGGACTTGTTCTGTCATGAACGAATCTCGTCAAAAGTGGCAGCTGCTGGGATAAAGCTGGGCTATTGTTTAGGGCTAAGAAGTACTTTTCTCTTTATATTCTCCCAAATCTGTACAAGGCCCAGATAAGACCTAGCCTCGAGTACTGCTCACACGTCAATGCTCTTGAATCCTAACCGTGTCGAACCTTTTACATCCAGAACAAGCTGATACGACCGCTCCTTTGTACCTAGGGTATCGAGATTATGGAACAACCGACCTGAGCAGGCTTTTCTAAGTTCTACTAAACCTCAAGCTGTTGAAAAATCTGATTAAAAAAGTTTCTTTAGGCTCATCGTAGCAGTCGCAGAGTTTCTGTCTAGGCGGCTGCATCGATATAAAAGAATATGTTGAATGCCACACATTATTTATCTTGGAATCTGATATATATTGACCGTGTACCCAGATCGTCAGTAATTATTGATGTACGAGTTTATATAGAAATCCACTTACACAGACCAGCAAATATTAATAACATTAAATTAAATACTGTCGTGTTAAACACAGTGGTTTTCTAAAAGGATCTTTTTTGCTGAAAGCAACCGCTGCATTGGGAAAGTTTTTGTTGATTCTAAAATTCCAATCGTATGAGATAGCACCTCTTATCACAAGTTTCAAAAGTTATTATGTTACGTGATTCAGTACTCGCTGAAGACATAAAACATTCCTACTTTTACTCCTTTACAACGGAAATTACGTCACCCACCCCTTGCAAATTTTAAACATTTAAAAATAAATACTATTCCAATTAACTGATGAGCAAAATTGCCTACTTTCGCAAATTGAAGGCGTATTAGTAGTGAAAGTCAATGGAGACTATACCAGAGATAACAGATATACATAAAAATCATAAACCACTAAACAGCAATTAAATGACCACAAGTGGATATCGGTGGCAGTCGCTTGACTAGACAACTAGAGATCCCTAATGCTTGTTCGAGGTTAAATCAAGAAATTATTATTTTTGATTTTTACAAGGCTATTTGGCAGAAAGTCACTTACAGGAATGGGTGAAGTAATACCGGTTTATACTTTCTAGGCTGCACATGTAAATGTAATACCGTATCACGAAGTTGCTTTTGACCACACTTAAGTATGATTTTTCACATACATGAAAATCCAGTACTTATGGATCGCAACAACAAAGCTGACCGTTTTATATAAAAAGTACGTTTGCACGTTGCAGATAATATTTTACATTAAATGCGTGACCTCACATATTCTGACGGAAGCTACGATACTTTTTTCGTATCATGTTAATCATTAAAATTAGTCTTCTAAACAACGGACCGCCTGTGGTCTGTCTTCCCTTCACCGATGTGCCAACGCACTGTGCTCATCTGCGCCATGCCGCCATACATTAGTCCTACAAGACAGACTCTTCATGCTTCTGTTTCCCATTCTATCGCAAAACATGCACACCAAGAACTGATTGGTACCTTCGTCCATTTGATTTTAGAGTCGGATTAAATCTTCAAATATCATTTGTCTACGTAAGCTCTTTGTGATTGCTATTGTGTAAAAATAACCAGACTATATATGAATACTGGAGATACCTCTTTCATATTCAAATATCTAATAATAATAGTAATATTTATTTACTCTTGAAGTACAATACAAAGAACGAGTAAATAAATATGAAGTATCGGCCCATAAGAGGCATTGCCTGTACATGGACCATTGACTCCACAACTGTATTATCGAAATATGAATACAGACACAACCAATAAACGAATTATTTGATCACATTTATTATAAATTTATATACATACGGCTGATCTAAAAAATGCATTCTTTTAAATTTTTCTTGTACTTGCTCCCTAAACTTAGATCTTTTATATCGTCATGTAAATTTATGTATAATTTTGGATGGTCGTTGCGTTATAGATTTATTTAGCCTAGGTACAACTGTTCCACTTTGTCTATTTCTTGTGTGTTGATTATGTTAAATTTTTTGGTCGTTATTTTATAAATCTGTGATAGTTGGTTATAGCAGGTAAGAGATAAAGCTGTTTTAAGTCATATGCATGTGTATCTTTGTATAAGACATCAGTTGGATACAGTTTTGAATTTTTAAACATTGCTCTTAAACTCGTTTTTTGAAAAATATGTAAATCATGAATAGGAGTTGAGCATGTAGGCTCCCATGCTAATATACCGTAGGTTAAATACGGCTCGATCAAAGTAGGTATAAGGTATAAAGATATTCTTCTTTTAAAATGTTTTTGGTATGTCAAACTTCTTTTTTAAAATATATGAAATGTGAACATACCAACGCAAGTGTTGATCCATGAATATTCCAGGGTATTCTTTATCTGGTGCTCTCTTAATTTCTAATTTCTGGTTATTTACGATAAATGAGATGGCTGTGTAATTTGTCAGATGTCTGGAATAGGAATAAAATGGTGAAAAATTTGTTTTAGAGTAATTAATGCTCAATTTCCTATTATTAAGCCACTGAAGAAATTTTGACAAAATCACTTTCAACTATACTTTTCAAATTAAGCAAATTATCGCCTTAATAAAAAACTGCTGTGCCATCTGCGAAACTTGCTATTTTGTCCAGACAGCCAATTTAAGGATATATTAAAAAGCGGTGGACATAAAACGGTTCAATGTGATAGATATTTCATTGCTGACAAATTTTCATACTTTAATGATTAATGAAAGAATCAGGAATTGAAGTAAAATTTAGCAAAACGTCATAGCCTCATTTTGACCACTTCGAGGGCTTGAAGGCTTAAAGTAGTTCGTTTAGTTCCAACCACTTTTACAGGTTATTTGTTTTAAACGGGACATTTGAAACTCATTGCTCGTTGAGAAAATGAACTTATCTAATCGGAGTTTTCACAATTTAATCATAAGCCGCTTGTGGAGGGAAGGTTATACCAGCCGTGACATGGAATTGGGGCATAGTCGTCAAATTTTAAGAAAACTATTGTTTGTTATGGTCAAAACACTTTGTCAATGAGTGGAGGAAATGACAAGGACTTTCAAAGTATCAATAATCGAATACGTCCAAAATTGCAGATACCCATTGTATACACGGCGGATATTTATAGGAACTATGGCCATGTTAATATTAGATATTACGACTAAGCTAAAAATTAGCGTTTTTCTAGAGTAACGTTGGATTTTGCCTTTGTTTCTTGTAGAACAGGTTAAGACCGTCACATGAAAGCAAGAACAATGCGTAATGCTAATGCCCGAGGCAAGCACGTACGCCCGACTGGTTCTTATCATCGACATACCGAAGGTACACCACCTATCACGATGATAACATGGTCAGATCTTTGGCAACTACATCTGAATGATAACCAGAGGAAACAAAACTGCATTTCTGTTTTTTAATATTTCCTCTATATAATTATTAGGTTGGGGTTCCTGGATTCATGAAATACTTATTCTTTTGACGGCGAATTTGTCAGGATATACAACAATACTAGGCATTTGAAAAGGGTACATATACTTCTAGGTATTGAGAAAGAAATCTTCTGTGCTATTTTTTCCACGATTAACGTCCAGAATTTCTAAAACGGATTTTCATTACTCGATGCCACTGGGGGATGGTTAAGTATGCATATCGTAACCGATAACATATCTGAAGAAATCTATTTTCCATGTAGATGCCGCGAACTGAGTCCACCGTTTATATATACAAATGCATAATTGCCATGACTTTACTCATAAAAATTGTTGGATCGTATTGAGGCTATTAATAAATAACAATTAGATTTGCTTTTTATGGACGTCGAAACGTTTCTGTTATTTTATTCGGATACTCAAAGTTGTAAATTATACTATATGTATTATCATAGCCATCTTTACCATACAAGCCATACAGTAAAATAAGCAACGTCGCAGTACTAGTTTAAAGTAGTCCAGAGTACTCTGTAGAGCAGTCTTATGTAAAAACGTTCATTAAATACCTGGCATAAATTTATTAGTTGAATTCCATGTTTACAATCTACAACTTGAATTGATCAGGGGAATTCCATATGAATCTAGTCAAATAAAATTATAAATTAATAAAACATCTCCACTAAATATAAAAATAATAACAGTATGACTGATTTTCAAAAAAGTGCCTCACAGTAAAAATAAAGTATTAAGCAATATTTTAAAGTTATTTACTATAAACAATAGAATAGATACAAAATTCTTGTATACAATAACATGTAGGTATCAATAGAAAACGTGCTAAATGCTCTAAGAGGAAAAGGTAAAGGTAAGAATAAATAATATAAAATATTCAATGATTTAATATTTTAAGCTTTTTTTTCGTCGAGGATATAGAAAGTATTACTTTTCTCTTCACTAAATTGATGTATGACAATAATTCAAAATATCAGTGCCACCTTGAAATATATTTATCTGGCGGGAGCACCGGATTCGCAAAACGTAGAAAAATCTACAAGGAACTCACTAGTTTTTGAATTCGTCAACGCCAAAGGAGCTACCAAATATTTATGCTTGGTTTTTCCTAAAAATTACAAACGAGCTGCTGGCTTGTTGATAATATATTCAATGACACGCAAATAATGATACATCTAGCTTCATCGTTATTACACCACTTTTTATCATTTGTTTGAAATTTTTGACATGTTATGCTTTGATTAATTTCAATTCTATCAGCTGCATATCCATAAATTTACCCTTGAACCGACTCATCCAGCGCATGTTTCTAAGTAATGTATACTTGGGACGAAACTGAATTCTGTTATCAATATCTTTGTCTGTCAAAGCAAATAAGTGACAGGTCACTGAATTTACTGGTTTCTAGGGAATTCTGTATTCGAATATCTTCCTCTCATTGATATATATGTCTTACAGAAACATTATTATTGAATTCAGACAGGTTTCTGAATCAACTTAACCTTTTTCCAAATTAACATTCTGAAATTTTTCAGGTGAAATATAGTCTATATCAAATTTTGTACAAGAATATTTGACAGTTCCTATTAAAAGTAGGGATCCTTTACTCAATGCATTTTATGTGTCTGGTGTTAGACCTTCAGCAGTCGAATACTGTCATTTAACGAGTTTCGTAAAAATATTAATTTATCATCATTTTCAGATGATGTTAGTGTTGCAAATACAGTAGACTCTCAACTATCCGGCCTAAGGTGGCGGGCAGCTGGTCCGGATAACGAAAAAGTCAGATAAGCCGAATCAATGTATCAAATGTATTTTAACTCGGAACTTACATTTGTACTTATGAAGGTATGAGAAAATGCATAAATATATTTAGTACATTACATAATTCCTAGATAATAATATGTATATTATATTATATACATTTTAATAATCTACATATGTGTTACTTTTTAAAAAGGCTTCTATTTTTGCCTGCTGCGTAAAAATTATGTTTAGCGGCGACGCGTCCTAGGCGGCTCGGATAAGCCGGAGTTCGGATAGGGGCAGGCCGGACAGTTGAGAGTTTACTGTATGTTTCTCTCAATTTGCCCTTTAAAGTTACTTTTAACATTAACTATACGCCATCAGTTTTTATAATTTTTAAAAATGATGCAGTCCCTCCACAAGAAACTACATGACTGTAGTGCGGCTGTGGCGGATTCATGGAAAAGATTTACCACCTAGTTATCGATTTACCTTTCTGAGTTATTCGGATAGAGGGACTGATTTAAGTTAAATGTTCTTTTAGTAATATTTCTTATTTCTGACTTATAAAGCTCCGTCAAATCAAGGTACGTTTCTTTAAGTTCAATCTAATGTTTATTCATGTCTGGAAAAATGGAGTATTTTTCAACGACTTTTTGATTCAGTCAATTAATTCAGACACTTTTATATATATGTTCAAAATCAAAGAGGAGAAATATATTTTCGTTAACAAATTTGAGATTTTTGATATAGAACTGTGTTGACAGACGATGAATCGCACGTTGGTTTAAGATACTGTTATCTGATATGATGCATGGAACCTTAAATGTGTAATTTCGCACACCTTTAATATAATCGATTTCGTACCTTTTCAAATCAGTACCGTAATGTTTCAACCTGGCGCCAGACCTGCAACCGCTTTAAAATGACAAAAGTCAAACAAAATCATAAAAACAACAACAGTTCTCGGTAGCTGATTGCTGTTTATTCTTGCATGTTCCCTAATTATGATTACTCTGACGATGAGAAAAATACTGACTTTTGAAACCATCATCTGGTGACATATCAAATGTAAAACAAGTGAATTACGAGTAAAAAGCAATAAGGGTGGTTCAGCTGAGAATCGTTCAGGACTACTACAACGTTGCCAAGTTTCTTACTTCAATGCGTGTAAGGTAAAGGTGGCTATGATATTACCTTCCAAATTCGCATACATTTATATTTAATGGATACTTGATGGTGAGTGCTAAAAAGCGTATGAAGATAAGTAAGTTAGAAAAGATAAAAAAAATCATGTAAGGATCATAATTTTGCAATACCTTAACCAAGCACGCAGGCTTCAAAAGCGTTATGAAGAAAATACTAATCTATTTTGCAATCGATAATTAGCACAAAGTTCCACGAAAAAATCTCTACTAAAGTCAAAAAGAATCGGTTACCGAAAAAATATGAAGATCATGTTTTGTAAACTTAGTAAAGATTTTTGTTTTTTAGAAAACCTCTTGCATTTACTGAATGTATAAATATCTTATAATAGTAGCTTGGACTAGCTACGTAACAACAGATAAACCAGAGGTGATACTAAGAAGGGCTTGTTACAAACCGCGAGACGCCGTCTTTAAAGATGACTAATGCAACAAAAGCAAACAGTCTGAAATCTTCATGAACAAATTAGCTTACACAGTTATCTTTACCAGCATTTTCGGTGGGAAACTGATAAGATAATGCAAGGATACAATCTTGAGGGTTACGTCAGTTCTAAGTAGTGATGCACTGTTTGCATGGTCCCAAAATTGGTCATCTTCTTTTATTCAGAGCAGGCAAGCAAAAAGATATGAAATACTGATTGTTCGATTCCCTTATAGTATACTTATTTGCATTTTCAGATAATACTTCATTCAGTTTACTTATCAATATTCGTTGAAATGCAGTGATTTCAAATCCTTTGAGGTTTTATTATCTGGTTTCAGTACATAAGTTTAAAGGGAAAATTGTCAAATATAAATAATGAATGGGCATCTTGGCTATTTTACCAAATATAATTTTTGGCTAAATGTATCTCAGTTCTTTCAATTGCATACTCAATTTTTTGTATGCTATGAAAATATGCACTGCTGCACAAACTGAACTGGACACTCGGCATATATCACTTCATTTTAAGGAAATCGTACAAGGTTGAACAAGTGAAATGGAATTGTGTTAATAACCCACCATGCCAGACTTCAATGAATATTTCATGGGCTGGTTTAAAAAAGTTCATATAAACTATACATTTTCCACAATGCGTCGTTTTCAAGAGGGTGGGTGTCCAATTTAAATAATCATGTTTTAAAAAAAATGTCTAAAAACTTATTACGACTTCGGGGAAACGGGTTTTCAAATAAAGTTTGGCACCTGTACCTATGAAAGGAATTATTCTTGAATCTAAGTATGTTTATACGAACTTTTCTCTATCCCCCAAAGACCCTTTAAAGTATCTGCAAGTATTTTGTTGCTACAAGGTGGTGATATTCTAATAAAAACAGATTCTTTAGACACATTTGATGACATTTCACCAGCCACCTATAGAAGTACTATGGGAAGACGATAAATTAGAATAAACAGACTACACAACACAATTGACGCACTCGTGAACACTTAATTAAAATATGCCGATCGTCCTATCAGCATGTTCCTCAACCCAATGAGTCAAACACAAATTCTGGGTAATTCATTTAACAGATTGTTATGCCTCATAACAACAGCTCGTGCAAAACAAGCTCAGAAGACAAGCATAATACTGTATTGCTACATCTATATTGACTTTATGTGCCTGTTAAGAACCGCGTATATGTCAGTTGTTACCTGAAAGAGGTTGACAGAGCCGATTACCATCCGCTTAAACATCAATTGTTTGCCAAAAAGGCCGGCTCGCATTCCTAGGGGATTAAGTTGTTTTGCTCATGTTCAACGAAAGATAAGATATTTCAATGTTTACAATGCCTGAACGGACTGTTGTTTGCATTAGATGGTAGCGTTTGTTTGTCTATTGTATGAGGATCAAAGATAAAGCTAAGGATGCATTTGTCACCATGCACAATATGGAAGCACATTTTGATAGCGATTTTTTTCAAGTTCTTAGCACCACTGCTGTCAAATATACTAAGTGACATATAAATCCGAACACCCAGTTTAAATGGTTTTATTTTAATAAAATTTTGTATAAGTACTTAATGAAGCATAATAAGTAAATGATAAAAATTTCAAAATGATTGCACTGCTTTAAAGCCCTTTGACCTTTAATAATGTGTGGATGCACCCTGATGTGCTACGCATTCTCCAACGCGCCTAGGCATGCTTCTGATCAGGTGGTCAATGTCCTCCTGTGGTATCTCAATCCAGGCAACCACCAACTCCTCTCGAAGTGCTTCTAGAGTTTGAGGAGGACGTTGCAAATTGAGCAATCTCCTACCCATCATATCCCACACGTGCTCAATTGGGGATAAGTCGGGAGATCTTGGTGGCCATGGTAACAATGTGACATCATTATGTTGAAAGAAGTCTACTGTGACTCTTGCAACATGTGGTCGGGCATTATCTTGTTGGAAAGTTGGATCTGCCAGGGTGTCAAGATAGGGTGAAAGATGGGGTTCTAGAACTTCGTGGATATAACGCTGCGCGTTCATGTTACCTCTGATGAAGATTAAATGTGACCTGGAACCATAAGCTATAGCACCCCAAACCATAACTCCAACAGTGTGATGAGCATGTCTTTCAACAAAAAACTGTGGATTCCTCCTTTCACCACGTCGCCTTCTAACCCTGGCACGACCATCGTGCATGCCTAAACAAAATCGAGACTCGTCACTAAAGACAATACTGTTCCATTCCTGATCCCAGAGTGACCGTTGTCTGCACCACTCAAGGCGATTACGTCGGTGTAAGGGTTAGAAGGCGACGTGGTGAAAGGAGGAATCCACAGTTTTTTGTTGAAAGACATGTTCATCACACTGTTGAAGTTATGGTTTGGGGTGCTATAGCTTATGGTTCCAGGTCACCTTTAATTTTCATCAGAGGTAACATGAACGCGCAGCGTTATATCCACGAAGTTCTAGAACCCCATCTTTTACCCTATCTTGACACCCTGGCAGATCCAACTTTCCAACAAGATAATGCCCGACCACATGTTGCAAGAGTCACAATAGACTTCTTTCAACATAATGATGTCACATTGTTACCATGACCACCAAGATCTCCCGACTTATCCCCAATTGAGCACGTGTGGGATATGATGGGTAGGAGATTGCTCAATTTGCAACGTCCTCCTCAGACTCTAGAAGCACTTCGAGAGGAGTTGGTGGTTGCCTGGAATGAGATACCACAGGAGGACATTGACCACCTGATCAGAAGCATGCCTAGGCGCGTTGGAGAATGCGTAGCACATCAGGGTGGATCCAACATTATTAAAGGTCAAAGGGCTTTAAAGCAGTGCAATCATTTTGAAATTTTTATCATTTACTTATTATGCTTCATTAAGTACTTGTACAAAATTTTATTAAAATAAAACCATTTAAACTGGGTGTTCGGATTTATATGTCACTTAGTATATATCCAAATGTTTTAGAAACATAAGTACATAGAAACAAGAAATTAGAGTATAAGGTAAATAATTTTTTTTTTAATTTGGACTTATGTATCTGGTCTTGACCCTTGCGGCCTTGCAACTACTCCTTGTCCAAAGTTTTGAGACCTGGCAATTTTTGAATTGAATTTGTTGAATGCTTCGAGAAAGGTAAGATTCAAAAGATCAGGCGAACATTATGGCACCTTCTTATATATTTCTGCAAATGACTAGGCACAAAGAAGATATGGAAAATGGTTTGTTCCTGAGAATTCAGTATATATTCTCTGCTTCCACGAACGAAAATGTCCACGGGAGCAAAGCAATTCTATGATTAGTTTCTGAGAAATAAGCTGTTTTGCTGATTTGCAAAAATGGTGAAAGTGCTTATTGCAGTCCCAGAATCAGTATACTAAAGGAAATATTGCGTTAAAAC